CATCACGAGAAGAAAGAACAGGATTTCATTAAACCACTTTGTGTTTGAAATGCCTCATTATTTCACTTTCACATGGGACCGTACGCGAAAGCGCATCGGTATGATAGGATTTTTCACCCGAACTGTAGTAAATGTTTCTTGATAAGAGTTCACAGTGAGATAGATATTTAGAGCATTGTGATCTTGCAATCTAAATAACAACTTTACAACAATTTAGTATAATGAAAAGTACACTTTGCATCTCATGATCTAATGCTGCACCAGAGAAATACATCTATTTCAAAATGTGCTTCTATTTAATCGCATTTACGTGTGTTCTGTTGAGATTTGCAAAATTAGCACTTGTTATTTTTACAAGTAAAGATGCGAAATTAATTAACATGATGAATATATATATATATATATATATATATATATATATATATATATATATATATATATATATATATATATATATACATGTATAACATGATAAAATTGCTATTCATATTACGAGATATACATTTAACTTTTCAACAACGGATTTTGAATTTTGAATTTTAAAAACAGTGTGAAGGAGAGAGAGAGAGAGAGAGAGAGAGAGAGAGAGAGAGAGAGAGAGAGAGAGATGAAAATACTCGTCAACTCTCCGGGCCCATGAAATACACTAAATACAGATACATTCGAAGTTTGTTTTTAAATTAAAATTCAGAAGAGATTCGAGACCTATGGTGGGTAGATCAAAACATTTGTTTCTGTAACATTGATACACATAAATACAGTAATTGTCCATCTCTGGTAAAGGTATCACGAATCATGACTTAAAAGTGAATGGAGGGCAGGAAGGGGGGGGGGCTGTTAATCAAAACTTGCATACTAATTATTATTCAGTGAATTTATTATCATTAGAGGTCATGTCTCCATTAGAATAGACTGTTTAATTCTACTTTTAACACAAGATTTTCCCCTTGTTTGACTTCATTGTTCATATTTTAAAAGATTATCAATATATCAACGGCATCGTAGCATTGTATAAATTAAATGTTATTGTGTATGAACTAACGTTTTTTTCTTTTAAACTGATTCCTATGTATTAAATTATCCAACAAATATTCCCCTCTCCCCCACTTTTTTTTCCAAACATACAAATTTGAAAAATGCGCATATTATGGAAACGGAAAAATCTAGACACTTTGAGAATGTAATTTTTTAATTGGAATTATATAATGCATATGTGATTTTTGAAAGGAACTCTTCAGATTTCGCCGGTACAAAATAAAATATGGTGCATATGTTGAACTTTTGAATCGTTATATCAATCAATTCACATTTTTTTTAAATATATATAATTATATATATTTTCATTACAAATGTACAGATACTAGTATTTTTTGTTTGGTCAAATTAAAACATGCTTATTTTATGTGGGTGTCATGTCATTTCATGACTTTTTATGCCGGGTAAATAAAGAAATATATGTTAAGAAAAGTCTTCGATCCAAAGATACTTCACTATTACCCATCCCATAGCAACAGCAAGGAAATTAGAAAGTTGGTACAGTGAATATTTATCAGCCGTAGAAAATGAACCCTTTCAACTTGCTCCCACTCGGGAAAACACCGTGTATTTGATACTATCAGTAGAGCTATAAAACGAATAGATGATCCATTATTTTCATTCACTTAGGTAATTTGAGAGAATTTATCAATGAGTATGGAACTTTGAAAGTAATTGACTAGAAACTTGCAAGAATGCTGAAATTGCATGATCATTAAATTCTCAGTTGCTTTGACGTGGCATGTAACATTAATAAAGAAACTTTAAGTTGTATGTAACGAACGTCACAAAAATTAGATCTTTCACGCTACTGTATTCTCGGGTGTCGCAAAATGCATGTACATGTTTTGTTAGAAGACGTAAGTATAAAGGATCTTGTTTAAACTCGTGTTTAATAATGAATAAATCATTAAAATAATACATTCATTAATTCTGTAGAAATTCCTCACATCAAACAGTAACATGTATATATTTTACAGTTATCAAAACTTTACACGTTATATATTTTAGCCTATCCCTTTTACATGTAAAAAAAAGTTTCAACATATTTTATCAGTAATTAGTTGAGATTTTTATAAGTTAGATTGTCCTCTCCTATATACAAAGAATATAAACAAAAATGCGCGTTACACAAAAGATGTAAATAAATATCTTTAGAGTGCGGGGTATGAAATGGTTTATAAGAACAGAAAAATATTGCAGAGGGAAGAGGGTTGTAGAAGAAAGAGAAATGATCATCAAAATCATCAAAATCTTTTCATTTTATTTTAGATTTACTTGTGCAAAGCTTTAAAATGTTTGTTATTTAGGCGGCCCACAAATGGGTCCTCATGGAGGATAATATCAAGGGCTAATATTCATTTATTACATGTATTTCTTATGGTGTGAAATAAAGCGGATCTTAACTCATTGTACATTTTAAAATGCAGAAAATAAATCTCAGTGTTTTCGTTAATTAACCCACAGGAAGACTGCGTTTATCTAAAGGACTTATTTTAGATAAATCTGATCTTATATTTATACATTGATGGTAAATGATAAAGTTTTAGCGTAACAAGATTTCCTATTCCTTGAGAAATCGTTTATTTAAACCCAAATATATTTTTATTAAAATATTTTAAGTACGTCTTTCAGATTCTAGCATTTTATGCGATGTCAATTATGCGAGGAAAAAGTAACAGTTATTAGCGGAGTACCAGGCTATTCAATGTTAGGAAAATCTGACCCTTTGATGTCTGTGATGAGTGTTTCGGACATCTGTCTAAACAAGTTAAAGGCGACCGTCGAAATGATTGTAGTGCTGCCATTGGTAGAAATTAATGACAGGCTTCAGCCAGCCCATCGTATGCAAAATAAGATTAACATGGTAACATTTCCCGCGAAAACTTACACTCTTTCAGAAATTCTATTATCCTGTGTTCTGTTGAAATCTCCGAACGTTCTCTATACATTAAGGTAAGATATCTCTTAATTTCTATTTTTTTTTTATGTAAAAGTAAATTAGATAGTTCATCGATTCATTAAAATCTCTTTAGTTCATGAGGGATCAAGCTTAAATAATTTTGAGGCTTCAGGTTGTACCACATTATCAAAATTTAGGACATCGTCTTAGCAAAATTGTAGAGCTTTAGATGTTAATTTATCATTTTAAATAGATAATTTAAAACAAACGTCGTGGAAGAAGTACTCCTGTTTACATTTTTTTAAAAACATTACTTTATATATAGATTTGTAGTATATCTCTATGATATATACATGCAGATAGCAAAATCTTCATTTTCACAGGCCACAGGTCATTACTTGACCTAATCACACTGCGCAATCATGCACGGATCTAGAAGGGGGGGGGGGGGCCTGGAATTTGCAGAGTTATTAAATATATATACTATACCAAGTAAAATTGACCTTGGACCCCCCCCCCCCCCAAAAAAAAAAAAACACGATCCCTCCTCGAAAACGCGGATCTATGTGAAATTGGTATGAAAAGTCATAGCTATCTATGTGAAATGGGTATGAAAAGTCATAGGTATGAAGCTTTAAATGTCAACGAACCCCCCCCCCCCTTCACGAAATAGGTTTTTCACGTTTGGGAAAAGAGTTGAGTTTTTTCTTTTTCTTTTTTTTTGTCTGTTTGTTTGTTTGTTTTTTTTTTAAATATATTTCTTGGATGGAAAAGGGTTTTTTTGAATGGGGTGGACGGGGGGTCCGCGCCTGGCAATAATATCTACCAGTACATTAAATGACTTGTTTTAGTTAACAATGAGCATGCTTTTCATGTATAAAAAATAGGAATGGGTATAGCAAAAAATTTCATATCGCGATATATCACTTCAATCCTTATCATGAACTACCATTTTTTTTACACAAGAAATTTGAAAATCTGTTGGAAAAATCAATGCATTGCAATCACCCCAGGAACAGCTGACAAACACTTCTGTCCCTGTTTCGGGCTGACACGCCATTGATTCAAAGGGGAATTCGTAAGGTATTTTGCTTCAGCCTTGTTTCGACGTAAAACTAGGGGAAAATTCTGGTGATTAGTGTTTTACATGTATCTGCACATTTAGAGTAAGATGGGGAGGTTTTCTGAAAAGGGAGAAGTAAGTTTAGACGTTTGAAAAATAATAAAGTCGTCATGTTACGTGGTAATTAGATTCTTGATTTTTCGGCGGTGGGTGGGGTGGGGTGGGGTCAAGTAATAAATTTGAAATCATGTTCAACTCAGTAGGCAAAAAAGGTGTCGAGGCTCATAAAAAGTCTGTGGTGCTTAGTGCCAATACATGTATATAATTTCATAGGAAACTTGAACTGTGCACTTCGAATTAAAATGGACTTATATGTTAAGGTGATAGAAAAGGAATAACTTTACTGGTATTTTTTTGTGTGCAATTCTTTTAAGCTTTAATGAAAAAAAAAAAACCTGTAGAATTTCAAGTTGACACACACACACACACACCTAAGCAACCTCCCACACAATCCCACACCCTCTCTCTCACACACACAGACACCCTCACACCCACACACCCACACTCGCAAACATTAAAATACCATCTACTGGCCGTTTATAGTACAACCATCTTCACATTAGGTAATATGTAATTATTGTATGTAAATAGATTAGATTCACTTACTTTGATCGTCAACAGTAACTTCTATGTCCTTGTCATCAGTATCACTGCTTCCTACAAAGAGGGAGTCTACTTTGCGTCGCAATTTGTGGGATCTTCTTTATAATAAAAAAAAATTAACAAAAAATCCGTCGGCATAATTGTAGAATGGCTGAAACATATCACTGGAAATCGAAATATTTGCCCTCAATAGCGTATTCGAATTCGATTGGCTATATCCCCAAAAATCACCAATCAAATTAAGAATAACTGTTTGACATGCGCAGAAATAAAGGAGCGGAAGTTAAATACTCATTCAAACATTTTGTTGCAGATCGAGAAAAACATGTATCGAAGATGAAGATCTTTTGCATTCAAGTGAAACTGTCAATTCAGGACTAGGTAAGATATATGATTTTGACTTAAAAAGCATGTGCCATTTGTACAAAGTATTTAAGTTTTAAAGAATGATTGAATGTTAAAAAGTTAGATGTTCAGCATACATGTATTAAACAAATGAGAAATAATGATAAAAAAAACCTGTAAAAGGGTGAATATATATACATATTTTTGGTCCTTTAATACTGGAAAATCGTAACGTTAAGACTAACAGGACCGGCATTTCTTTTAAATTATACCAACATTGTATGTACTTAATGAATTTTTTTAATCGAAAATTTATTTTCCTGTAAGTTTTAATTGATTAATTATCAACTGAATTGAATTTTTAAAATCCTATAGTATGCCGTTTTATTTAAATCTCTGAGCTTCCACATTATGAAGATATCTAGACTGAATGTGTGACGAGAATTTTTGATTGCGCATTCGATAACTTCGGATAATTCCCGGCGTTACTGACATGAAACAGCCGAGATGTGTCGAATGAGCAATTGTTAATCCATTCCTTACCCTTGAGGTTATTTTTATCAGTGTCCATATAACAAGAAGTAGTAAGGCTGATTTTTCCCATTAATATAATTTAATCCGCAACCATCGTTCTGTTCGCATCACGGAGTACACACATGTAATGAATAATGGTTCAAGGGATAATAACAACTGTGTAGATAGAAAAGACACTGCTAACTGCCCTGTTTTAAAATTATTTTCACAAATGCCGCTTTTCCAATTTTAAATTGACAAAATGTCAGAAATACTCAAGCTGTAGAAAGTAGTTACAAAGAAGTGTCATTAATATTCAAAATCTGAAGTAAGAAATAGGCTAATAAGTATTTTCACGTGCTTGATAAATATAAGAAAGAGTTAAGAATTTTTAGTAACCTTTTAACATCATACAAAACTTAAAATTTCATCAATTATTCTTTTACGGACACACGTCTTTTAAAAGTTATTTTTATTCAGTATATTTCAGGAATATCCGTGGAAGCATTATTTTCTGTTGAACCCGCCCGTTTTAAGCAGATCGCTTTTCCATGAACGTATTTTTATATGCTACATGTATTTATATTATTCAATTCACTTACATTTAATATGTATATCCTAAAGACATGCATAGCAAAATTTGATCTATTACACCAGTATTAAGTTTCTTTCTGAAATGAGACACCCCCCCCCCCCCCCGAAAAAAATCCGTCAAATCGATTAAAATTGGTACATCAAATTCCAGTCATTTGTTCTTTTTTTCATCATCTTCGCTTTTCTATTATTTCCTTTAAAATAGAAATTTACCAAAAAAATCGGCATGCGATGATAATCCGTAAAACTTATGAATTATGTTTTATCGAATACAGCCCGAGTAATTAATAATAGTTCTATGACGGAAAGAATTTACGACTTTGTAATATTAAAATATAACCAAAATTGTTGTTATATGTAAACTGGAATAGAGTAGTCAGATCAATACACTGTGTTACCGACGAAAGATTAACCTGTTTCACCTTTCAACAGTAACCAATGAACTCGTCCGTTGACGGTTGTGGGAAATTCTACGAAAAGGAAAAGCAATCGTCGGTAACCAACGGGTGAATCACGTCGAATTTCTCTATCTTGTGGACTGGTTTTGATAATTTGAAATTTTGTTTTTGTTTCATTGATACCTAACAAACGTGTGAATATGTATTCAATATGCCCGGAATAGGTACTCAGAATAATCACCGTGTGTGTTGTGTGTGTGTGTTTAAATAATTGATGTGTAAAGTTTTGTTTTTTTTTCATAAATAGATAAATTATTCAGTATGCTAACTATGCTTTCAAGTAAACATCATCTGTCTCCCTCAGCCGCGCTTACTCTTTCCTCGCATATTTAATAAGGCCCCCTAAAAAATAATATTCGTTGGACTTCTCCTCACTCAAAATGAAATCGAAGTACCGATATTCTTCACTGTCAACCGGAACTAATCCATTTACTAAATAACAATGAAATGTAATGATTCATTGATATATCTCGTAATAAATGTATAATTTTGGTTACAGATTCTGATACCCTAAAAGAATATGAAGCAGTGAATGAAAGAATGGGATTGTCTTGTGGAGTTTTAAAAAAACGATCGAATTTATGTTATACTAGATGGCATCGACTAAGATTAAAAACCTAAGGTAATCTCTCTCTCTCTCTCTCTCTCTCTCTCTCTCTCTCTCTCTATATATATATATATATATTAGGTAATCTTTATATATAACGGACTCTTAGATCTGTTATCATGACACAGAGAAAAGATAGGACTGGACAAATATTTCCTCATATTAAGCAATACAAGTTTTTAAAGAAAAATCTGCCAAATCAAGTCTAATGCTCATTGTCATAATATAATAATAGGAAGTGGTGCCATATAAATCTATGCTTTGATTTTTAAAACATATTAACAAATTACGTTCATATGAAAAATGATTGGTCTTTGTGAGGTAAAGCATTTCAACGCATCATGTAATTAATCTACAGTGTATTTCATACCCTATAAATGGAATTCGTTACAGGAACTATTATACAAAGTGACTTTACGCCCTAAAGTGGTAAAGAAACAATATTAAACTGCTATTTCTATTGACTTCTTCAAAATTGTCAAATGGACGATTTTTTACGCAGCAACTGGTTCACTAAGATGTCATAATTCTTTTCTTCTGCTGTAATAAAGCTTTCATTTTGTCAATTGAATGAGGATATTTGAAATAATAATCTGCCTGAGAATTATAATTTTATACGCTCATCTTAAGGCAGGGCATATTTTGTTATGGCGTTCATGTTTGTCCATATGTCTGTCTGTTTACTTTTTCGTGTCCGGCTCATAATTTTTATACTATGAGCATAAAATTAACAAACTTTGTCAGCAGGTACATCTTGTGTAAAAGGTGTGTTTCACTCTAAAAATAGGTCATTGTGACCTTTAATTAAGATGTTATTGTCAAGAAAGGGGAAAATCCTGTCCGGCTCATTACTAGATAACTATTAGACCAAGAACCGTAATACATGTACTCGACCATTTGATGCATCTTAAATAGAAGGTTTGTCGCATCCTATTTAAAGGGCACTTTGACCTTCATTTAAGGCAAAATTTAAATATATATATATGTATGTCTTTACATTTTAAATTATACAGTCCAAAAAGATGTAAGAATATTGCAGATATTTAAAAAATGTTTCATCAAGAAAATACACAGTTTTTTCTCATTGCTAACTTTACAACAATTTTTAACAAATATAATAATGTTTTGTTTGTGTCAAAAACGAGAGAGAAATTCCACATTGGTGTAATTATCAAGCAGTAGTCAAGAAGAATTTTAATAACAAATTAGATGTTGAATTAGAGATAAATTAATGAGTTTCCTGTGAGGAATTAACTGGTAGAGCATCTCTGATCAGGCAGATGTTATCTAGATCTCTTGGGAATTAAGCAAAGGAATTTAATTGCTCAGTCTTGGATAAAATTATCCTTTTGTCTAGCCTCTTTCAAAATAAATCCGGTATAAAGTAATGAAAACTAATTTGAAATTGTACAATGTGAATTTTTTTTAATATTGTCCAGCAAATGACAATGGTATTAATTGCTTAGATAAAGACTTTTTGCAATACACAAAGTCTGGAAAAGGGAACAAATCTGATGGCAATTATGGCTGCTTAACGTCTATGAGAAATATTGGGGGGGGGGGGGTATCCTGAAGGGTCTTGGTTTACTCATCTCTGGGACTTGTCCTAACCTCTTTTATTGGATATGTTTCCATTAGGAAGTACTGGCTAATTTTGCCACATTTTTAGAAAAAAATAAAGATACCAAAATGCAGTTTATTATTCATAGTTCTTACCTTTTTTTTAAGTATCTGAGGTCAAATTTCATGTTTACCCCATCACACTTCTCTGCCTAAATCTGTCCAGTATTATGCACAAATGTAATAAATTTGTTTGGTGAATGTAAAAATTCAATTAATGGTTTATTTGACAATATATTAGATAGAAAAAATATCAAAGAATATGAATTTTACCACTCAAATGATGTATATTTTTTACAGGGTATTACAGAAGAGGAATAGAATATTACACTGTGGCAGTTGTTGAATACTTGGGAGTAATAGAGAAGAACAAGTAAACCTACTGCAAGACTTTTTAGGAAAACTCGATGAACAATTTATGTCTAATATTAATATGAATTTATTAATACTAAACTAAAAAGACACACAGAAAATTGCCAAAATTTCTTTAAATTTATCTGAATTGCCTTCTCTTAGCTCTCTAACAACCACTTGTTAAAGATATTTACTTTTTATATTATAATTTAAGCAATGGGCATTTAAGACTTGCAAATAAATCTTTTTTCAGACTTATTTTCTTAGCAAGTAACTGTTATCACATGTTATAAACATATAAATTTAATAATGAATTTCTTATCAAACTGTTGTTAAAAAGTTGTTTTCCTTTAAAGTTTTCTGAATTAACTTCCCTTGTTATTCTAACAACTAGTTGCTAAGACATTTTCAGGAAGCTATCTAAGATATTCTTAATTAGCAATTGTTAAGGTTAAGACTTTCTTGGAGCTATTTAAGATTTTCTTAACAAGCAGTTGTTAGGGTTTAGACTTATTCAGGAATCTACGATATTCTTAACAACCATTTATTAGGGTTTTAAAAGAATTGCATTAATTGAAACATAGCTTTCTTAACAAGCAGTTTTTAAGAAAATATCTTGAACATACTCCTAATCTTTTTATTAAAAAGTTAAATTAAGACATTTTTCCCAATGTTTCCTGAGTTGTCTAGCCTTGGTCCTCTAACAACTAGTTGTTAAGAAAAGAATATTTCATTAAACTTGTATGTGCTATATTTGCTTAATAATTTTAATTGATTGTCAATTGTCAATTTTTATCCCGGTTTTCTAGCAAATTTTAAAAGGATTCCATGGACCTACTTCTAACACCCTTAACAAGCAGTTGTTAAGACTTTATTCCGTTTGACTTCCTTTCCATTTCTAACAACCAGTTGTTAAGAATATATCTTGTGAAATTCTTTTGGTATTCTTAACAAGCAGTTGTTAAGACTTTATTCCGTTTGACTTCCTTTCCATTTCTAACAACCAGTTGTTAAGAATATATCTTGTGAAATTCTTTTGGTATTCTTAACAAGCAGTTGTTAAGACTTTATTCTGTTTGTCTTCCATTGCATTTCTAACAACCAGTTGTTAAGAATATATCTTGTGAAATTCTTTTGGTATTCTTAACAAGCAGTTGTTAAGACTTTATTCTGTTTGACTTCCTATCCATTCCTAACAACCAGTTGTTAAGAATATACCTTGTGAAATTCTTTTGGTATTCTTAACAAGCAGTTGTTAAGACTTTATTCCGTTTGACTTCCTTTCCATTCCTAACAACCAGTTGTTAAGAATATACCTTGTGAAATTCTTTTGGTATTCTTAACAAGCAATTGTTAAGACTTTATTCTGTTTGTCTTCCATTGCATTTCTAACAACCAGTTGTTAAGAATATATCTTGTGGAATTCTTTGGGTAGTCTTAACAAACAGTTGTTAAAACTCTGTATAAAAGTGTAACAGTTTTACTTAATTTTATTTAACAAGCAATTACTTAAGAATTCCTTCAGCTTATTTTTCGTGTTCTTAACAAACAGTTGTTAAGACATGCCAGATATATAATGGTTTCTTTAACAAGCATTTGGTAAGAATTGGAAAATAAAGTGTTTAAAGTATGCATAGATTTCAGTTGTCTTTTTTGTACTTAACAACCATACAGAGCTTTTGATCAAATGGAATTGATCAAGTTAAAATGGAAGGTGTTCTAAGAATCAGAACAAAAGAAATATCAGTGGATAAGGCCACAATTAAAAAATTGTTGGTTTGGCATTGCCGATTGAGTCTTTAAACACTTGGGTCAGTAGGTAGGGAAAATATTTTTTTTTTTTTTTTGCTGATACAAAAATTAATGCTATTAAATCAATTGTGTTGTATTATTGCATTTTGTTATACAAATTAACAACTATGTCAAAACAGATATGAAATTTCACACGTCATACAGATTTCTAATACAGTTTCAGGTCTTGAGTGACAATTATGAAGCAAGAACTTCTGCTTTCTGCTTTCTGAACAGGAAAGGGCATATACAAAACAAATCAAACAACACTAACAAATAAATGCTGAAATGATACATCGTGATATGTAGGTATATTGGGTTTGGATAATACACAGACATTATGATACGATACATCTCTCAAAACAATTTTATGATTCAATACATGAATCTAGACATTATTTAAGTTATAAAATTTTAATAAAATTACTTTCTTATTAATTTTTTTCTAAGGATAAATTAACCATAAATGTACAAACAAACAAACAAAAAAAAATCAAAAATCAAATCACTTGAATTGAAATTTACAGCAAGGTATTGCTGTAAAAATTATCATTAATATATTTGTCTAGGGAGGAATTGATGGGAATTGCTTTAATTTGTTTTTTAAAATTTCAAAATGATTTATAAATCATGATTGTCAAATGTCAATAAATAACACAATAAAGTAGATTCATCATTTAGTGTAATGGCTAAGCATTCAGATTTGTTGTGTTTCTCATATATATACTGAAACTTTGAATGACACAGTTTATAAACAAGCTGTCTTCTCTGTAGTAGCGGCACTAGTGAAGAATCCAACATGTTTCAAAACTTGTAAGAATGGCCTGATTTGAATGTGTAAGATACAGTTGCAATGCCAACCATGCCAACATTTGGCATTTGTTTATTTTTTAGTTATTTATGAACCAGCAATAATTAGGGCTGCACCAAATATATTGATACATATCTAGATTAATGAATATATCGTATCCAAAAAATAACTTAATTCCAATACATTTTGGGCAGGCAGTTTTTTTATGTAATTCTGTGAAAAAGTTGGGAATTTCAATCACCAAAGATTATATTTAACTGTTTTGAATTAAAACTGATCAAAAATGATATAATCGTTAAGGAGGTAGCACATCTTAGATGATTATTACAAAATCATAAAAATACATAGACAACTTTACTTAGCATGTTGATTTTACAGTCAAGAAAAGTTTGAATTTGAAGTGTAATTTTTAAAGACAGTGAGACAAAAAATTAAAAATGAGTTGCAAAACAATTATTATTTTTATAAAATTCATGCATAATGATTTATAAGACTTTTTTGACAGAATTGTTAAAGAATCCAATATATTGCATATCGCATTAAAAAATGTCTTCTTCTTTTTTTTTGCTCAATACACAGCCCTAGCAAAAATGATATACAACAAGGACTTTGATTGGATTATTAAGACCAACATTTTTTTATTTTCTGTTTTACGGGAATTTTTTTCAAAAATTTGAGTCGGGGGGTCGAAATAAAAATAAAAATAAAAGCTCGGAATTTAAGCAGTCGGTCAGAAAAATAAAAATAAAATGAAAAAATGCAATAAAATTTTTTATTTTTAATTAAGGTTGGAATTTTATTTGTATGACCTTAATTTGTTAGAAAAACAGTGCTATTTGAAAAACTTTTGTACACAAAACACAGAATTGGTACTGTTAATGGATCAATGAACTATTTTAAATTTAACTTTCTCTTAGATATTTGGAGCAGGGGTGCATTTCTAGTATAAAGCTTGCAGTTTCTAACATTAATGCAAATCAAACATACAAATCTATAGTCTTCTCTCAAATGTCAAATATCATATTGTCACCACAGTAAACCTATAGGACTTCTGTCACACCCCTCATAAACTTTTCAGAATCTTTTATTTTTCGGTATTCAGCAAATTACAAGATCTGAGGATTTTGGACTAGTTCTGGCAAAGTTATGTAGAAAATACAGTGAGACATTCAATGGATCAGCTAAAATAAATTAATTCACAGAAGTGCACATGAGACATGAAAAAAAGAAAAGTTGTATAATATTTTTTTTTCAACGCACTTCCAATTAATATATACGTAGGTTGAAAAAACGTACCACAATATCTCTATTGAAAACATATTCAAACTTCCTCAATCTGTAGTATATATATCTTTTTATCCTTATGTTTTCTTTCTGAGCATGCTAACTTTCAATATAATTGTAGAAAATACACATCTTTCCCATAGTATACACATGTAAAATACACATGACAATATTCTGTTTACTGCAGAATTCAAAAATTTAATTGTTGAAAATGGTTCTAATCCACAACTGTTGAATGAAAAAAGAAACCAGGTCTTGAATTGAAATAATATTTGTAAGGGCGTATCATTTACAACAATACTTTTCCCTAGTGGTAAAAAAAAAGTTGTTTTACTAAACAAGAGCTATACATATACACTACATCAGCTGATATGAATACGCTGAACAATCAATGTACATTAATTTGTTACATAGCACGCAAAATTCCATAAAGCAATAAAAAAGGAGATAATGTCTTGTATCAATCAAGCATCAAGCATATATACTGATATATCTTCGTAGGTAATTCTGAATTCCAATATTTGTCATAAAACGAGTGAAAGTTGTGACTCGAATTTCCTCAGTCACGCCACTTTCTACCAGTTCTACATAGTTCTAGTGTTCTGTCGTTACTTGTAAAAGAAAACATTTCTGTCTTAAAATTAAGTTTAAAAAATCTTCAAGACGTATTTCAATGTATTGAAGCAATTGTCAAAGATAATACGTACTCAGAACCTTTCAAAACAAGCGGTTGACAGAACCTCGATTTCCACGTGGCCCTCCGCATGACATTTGATCAAGATCACTGATTCGTCTATTTCATTCAATCTTTCATTAAAATTTATACTTTTTCTAATATATAACATTGACACGTCACTTTTTAAACTGACTATTTAAAAACACGTGAAACCCTCCGATTCTGACATTTTGGCGCTATGCTGTGCAGTGACTCTTCACGCAACGAATACTGTGATTGGATGAATCTATTTACCTCAGCCAATGACAAATCGCATTTTGAAAGGCTTGTAAAAAGGTTATTTATATTTCTTTTATTTTTTCAGAGACTATAAATAAGCTATCGGCGGGAGAAATAAAAATAAAACTTGAATTGGGGACTTTTATTTTTATTTCATTTTAGCCCAAATTAGGGTCGGCGCTCCCTTAAAA